TACTATGTTGAATAGCCGTGGTGATAGTGGACATCCCTGCCCTGTTCCTGACCTTAGGGGGAAAGCTCTTGACTGAATTGTTTTTGACTGGGAAAAAATGCAGAAAATCCTCCTGACCTGAGAGAAAGGTGTTCATTCAAGCACTTATTAATTCACTCCTACCATTCTTTAAATTCCTATTAAGTACCTGCCATAGTGCGAAGAGCTAGAAATATAAAAAAGAAAATAAACCATAGTATTTGTCCTCCAGAAGCTTATATACCAGTGATAAAAATTAGTAGATGAACAGAGGTGCTACTAGACAACAGAAAGGAAAAGCTTAAATTAAGTAGGGGCTACAGTAAAGTTTCCTGGGGGAAAGGTCACTTGAGATGTAATGTAGAGTATAAGTTATTTAGATTAACAAGGAGCAGAAGAGCATTCCAAGTGGAAGAAGTCATGACCAACCTGACTCATCTGGAGCTACACATTTAATAACAAATAGACAACAACCAAGAATTACTGAACTTTTGATGGGGGAAAAAAAGCATGTAATAAAAGCACCAAAATGAACTGGCAGATAAAGTAACCCATGGAGAAAACATTAAATAAAGAAACTAAAAAGAGGAGAAACAAAAAAACTAGTTAGTCTCTCTAGAGGTGAAAGGGTAGGTTGCATCCATAACATAAGAACTGGCAGACAAAAAATAACAAGAGAACAATAAAGAATTTTTGTAAATTAAAAATACTATTAAAACATGTACATCCTGAGACCTGATAAGATGGAAGGTGGTATCAGAGAAGACTGATGGAACATAAAGCAAAAAAGTAGAATTTTAGACAGAAAAAGTTAAAGGAACAAAATTGTGAGGAAATTTAATATTCATCTTATATATGTTTCAGAAGAAAACAAATAAGAAAATAGAGGGGAAGAAACAAATTTAATAATAGAAAATAAATTCCCTGAGTTAAAGAAAAACCTAAGCTTTCAGATACAAACTTCTATATTTCTCCAGCATTAAGTAATGTAAAATAAACAGTTCTGATATATGTTGGTAAAATTTCTGAAATTCAGGGATAAAGAGGAGGTGCATGACAATGACATTGACAATGATTTCTTATGTGTAACACTGAATATTGTAAATCAGGTAAATATTTTAAATGTTCTGAGAAAAATGATTTTGAAAATTTAATTCTATAATCAGACATTATTACTTGAATATAATGATAAAGTAAATACATTTTCCAAAAAGCAAGGGCTTAGAAAATATGTTATTTCAATTATTTCCATGCAAAAAATAACTACTTGAAGATATACTCCACAAAAACTAAAGATGAGATTTGAAGTCATAAGATTCAATTAACAGTGGTAAGCAAAGAAACTAGTAAAACCTAAAACCATGTCTATGTAATTGCTGTTAAATAGCTACAAATTTTAACAAAAATATTAAGAATCCATTCCTCAATAAAAAGAGACACATACTGAATTAGAATTTGGACTAATTAATAGTCCAAAACTAAAACTTTAGGTAGTTTCATTAAATCTTGGAGGTGGAAGAGTAAAGGATATGCAGGGCATAATAACCTCTTAATCATAAAAAGACAGAATTCATAATAAGAAAATAAATGGGTCTTCCTTTATGCAATTATTTCTTAAAATATTCAATAGCTAATATATTTTTAAATAAGTTAAGTAAACAACAAACTTATTTGTAATTAATACAACAGAAATAATTTTGAGTCCCTTCAAATCATTAAAAAGTCTAAAAAGGGCCTAAGATGGCAGGTACCATGAAGAAGGGGACTGAGAAGATGTCAATGTTATTTTTGAAGATCAACAAAAGAAAAAAAATTTGCACTGAATATAAGTAGAGCTGAAGGAAGAAAGAAGTGAAAAAGAAACAACTCTAAAATTTAGAAGATGCTTGTGAGGACATCATGCTTGCAGATAATGAGTGCTTAATGATACCTGACCAAATTGGTGATGTTTTCATTAGCCATTCTCAAGAAGAAACATAGGAAATGTTAAAAGTAACAAGAAAAATTTGTAAGAAGAAATTGATGCCTGAGAATCCAGAGTGGAATTAATCCAGGGGGTGTTAGCAGATTCAGTTATATGCAAAATTTGGGAGCAACATAAACCTTGAAGCTGACGAAAGTTAAACATAATACTTTTAAAAATTTGTTTAATAAACTTGAATATTATTTAAAAATTTTAAAAAGTCTATAAGGGGGGAGGGCAAAGGTAATGAGCTACCATTTCATGAAATAAGAGAAAATAATATCTAATAATTATATAAAACCTGTTATTAGAGAAATCCAAATTAAAGACAACAAAGCAATATATTCAATGTTAAAAAAAAAAACATTTCACCCCAAATTTTATACCCAGTTAAACAGTACAAACCTAACAGAGATTGCTTCAAAGCTGTTCCTCCTTCTCAAATCATTAGAATCATAATCCTCTCCCCAACCTTTAATTTTTAATTAATTAATTTATTTTTTGTACTAGGACATCTTGAGAGAGGGAAGGTACAGCCCTGCAAAGCATTAGTTTGCAAGCAGTGAGTTGGTATAGATCAAGGTCTCTCAACCTCTGCATTATTGACATTATGGGCTAGATAATTCTTTGTCATGGGTGTTATCCTGTGCATTGTAGGATGTTTAGTGGCACCCCTAGCCTCTACTACTAGATGCCTATAACAATCTCCCTCCCCTCAGTTATGACAATCAAAAATAACATCAGATATCACTGAATTGTCCCTGGGGGGCAAATTTACTCCTGACTGAAAATCAGTGGTGTAGAGCTTGTATGAACAGTTTTTACCTCTGCAAATCTTGTTACTAATAATAAAAATAGAAATAAAAATTACCAATTTCAAAGCCTCCATCAATTAAGCCAGAAATCGAAGATGATATGTCAAATCTCCTTTCTATTTGAGTGATGGAACTTTTCATGATGACTCCACCTAGTCCCTTACACATAAAGCTCAATGACAGGGCTACTAAGAACATCTAAGAAAAAGCAGAAAGAAAGGATAAAATAATTAATAAAAAGACTATAATGCTTATATATGCAATGAATTAAAAATAACTTATCTTCTTTACTTAAAAACATTATTTTTATCATTAAAATCATACTCAACTTTCCTCTATACCAACTGGTACTTCCTAGTCCTTTTAACGTTATCATCACTACACTGATAAAGCATCATTTTCTAACTTGTTCACAACATCAGATAATTAGAGTACAACAGTCAAGGCTGTTTTTTTCATTTTATATTTTTAACTGATTTTTAAGAAGCTAGATAATGACCTGAGATGGTGATGATGATAAGCTATTCTTTATTCCCCCATGAATCATATAGACTAACTGTGAGGGGAGTGGCTAGACATTCTCAAAGATGGCATTTCCAGGAAGTCAGCTGGAAAATGGAACTTTTTTTTAAATTTATAAAACCTCACTATTATTGGAGAAATCCAAATAAAAATGAAAAAAAAAAGCAGTATATTCAACATTCTAAAAAAATACTTTAGTGGTTATAGATATTTTATTTTCAAATTCATTTTAACAAAATGTGTTGGTTCATCCTTCTTACAGCCCACATTTATACCCATAAGTGAATTCCTTTTACATCTAACATTAAAATATTATTCTGCTATGGACTATATGTTTGTGTCCCCACCAAATTCATATGTTGAAACCCTAATCCCTAATGTGATGATATTTGGAGAGAGGTCCTTTGGGAATTAGGTCATAAAGATAGAGCCCTCATGCTAGGATTAGTGTCCTTAGAAGGGCTTACTTCTCTCTCTCTCTCTGCTTTGTGAGGACACAAGAAGATAGCCATCTGAAAATGAGGAAGAGTGTTCTCACCAGAACCCAACTATGCTGGTACCGAGATCTCAAGACTTCCAGCCCCCAGAACCATGAGAAATAAATTTCTGTTGTTTAAGCCACCTAGTCTGTGCTATTTTCTTATAGCAACCCAAGCTGATTCAGACAGGTCTTTCTCATTACCTCCAATACCACCAGTGGTAGCCACCATCATGCATAGCCTGGAGCATCACATTAGCCTCTTATTAGATCTTTCTGCTTCTGCTCTCATTCCCCTTACAGTCTCTTCTCAACACAGTAACTACAAAAACTCTTTCAAAGTAAAAATTAGATTATGCCACCACTCCCTGTTTTCCCATCTCCCTCTTAGTAATATCTAGTCTTTCCAATAGCCTACAAGGCTCTAAATGATCTGTCCTCCCCTGATTATCCCTTCCCTAAAAATATTCCATTTTACCCTTCTGATCTCATGTTCTGTTACTCTAGTTCTTGCTCATTCCTCTCCATCCACAAGAGCCTTCTTGTTTTACCTTGAGCATTCCAGGTTTATTATTTTGACACAGGTTCTTTGTTCTTGCTTTTCTTCCTTTGGGGAAAGCTCTTCCCCATAGTTATATCCTTATCACTCACTCCCTCACATCCTTGAGGCTTTTGCTCAATGTAACTTTCAGAGTGAGGCTTTCCTTACCCATCCTATTTAAAATTATTACCACTTCCCCCTCACAATATATTTTATGTCTGTCTGTCTGTCTGTCTGTATGTATGTAATATATGTTGCCCTCACTATAAATTTCATTAGGGTAGGATTTTTTTTCATCTGTTTTGTTCACTGGTATATCTCTGGGGCGTAGAACAGTGCCTGCCACAAAGATGTTTAAAAATGTCTAACTAGAACTTACTATGTGTCTTACATGAGGTTATGCTTGGAGAAGGAGATAAAAGGCCCAATACAGCCCTTCCATGGCTGGAAAAATGTGTGTACTTTCCTTCCCGTATATGGAACTTTTAATGAAGTTGAAAGGGCTTGAGAAAAGTTGTAAATGTTACAACTTATTAGAAATAACTAAGAATTCTTATATAAGATATAGGAAGTCATCTAAGAATGAAACACCAAAGGTAGAAGGGTATCAAAGCCAGTTTTGCTAAGTTGGTAAAGGGAACAACAAGACTCATAGGAAAAAGATATTAAATTTGTCCAGAGAGATTAGACAAAAATTATGAAAATTTTCTTCAAGGACAGCCCATTCTGACATATATAGTATCATTACTATCTTTACATTATAGAACAGAAAGGAAAATTTTCCAGTTCTAATCATTTAAAAAAAATCATGTATTGACACCAGAAATTAAGAAATGGAGATGGGATGGGGCACCTGGGTGGCTCAGTCGGTTAAGCATCCGACTCTTGATTTTGGCTCAGGTCATGATCTCAGGATTGTGAGATCGAGCCCCATGTCAGGCTCCATGCTGGGCATGGAGTCTGCTTAAGATTCTCTCTCTCTCTCTCTCCCTCTGCCCCTCCCTGCACTGTCCCTCTCTCAGCAAGATGACAAAATAGGAACCCTCAATCCTCCTTCCCCCATGGATACATAGACTTAACAACAAACTGAATATCTCTGTGAAAAATCCAGAAACCATTTAAAATATTTGTGCATCCTACACAGTGGGAAGCCAACCTCACAAGTTCAGTAGGAAAATCTGTGACACTCCTCAATTTTCTTGCCAAAGCCTTCCCCCAACCAAGCATCATTGGTGCAATTGGGACAAAATCCCCAACTCCCATATTCTGTCTGGGGAGAGAAAGGAATAGAACTTATATCCAATGTTCTGACTTGTATGGAGGCAGCATGAGGGACCAGTTTGTATTCAAGTACTGACAAGAGTGGATGGCCACATTTGAGGGTCTCAGAATAAAGTCAAACCATGAACCAGAATATGTAGTACCATGGATAGACACTAGGTGGAGCACCAGGATTGTAATTTACTAAACCAGGGAGGGTGCAGTTATTTTAGGCACCAGGCAGAAGTCCTTAGTAAACACCAGCAAACTTCTCCAACAGCGCAAGGAGGACACACATGCAGAAGAAACTTGAGAGATCTAGACAATCTCTAGCTTGGCTACATAGTTAAACTCATCCCTGTACAAAACCACAAAGTCTGAGAGAGTTGGCTGATTTTCAAATGTCAAAGTTCCAACAACAAAAAATAATAAGACATATAAAGAAACAGGAAACCACAACACATTTAAAGGAAGAAATTAAATCTCCAGAAATTGACTCTAAAGAAATGGAGATACATGATCTGCCAGAAAAAGAATTCAAAATTACCATAAGGATATTCAATGAATTAAAACACAAAATAGATATACCTCTAAATGAAATCAGAAAAACAATACATAAACAAAGTGAGATTATTAATGAAGAAACAGAAACTTGGAAGAAGAACCAAATAGAAATTCCAGAACTGAAGAAAACATTACCTGACTTGAAAACTTCACTAGAGGAGCTCAAAATTAAACTTGACCAGACAGAAAAAGAATTAACAAACTCAAAGACTGGGCCAAGAGGGAAAAAAAAAATGAATGAATAAATATGAAGAATGTAAAGAACCTATGGGACACCACCATCAAGCAGAACAGTATTTGCATTATAAGAATACCAGAAGAAGAAAGAGAAAGGGGCAGAAAAATTATGTAAAGACTATAGCTCCAAATTTTCCAAATCTAAGTAAAGAAATGTACATGCAAATTTGATAAATTCAAAGAAGCACATCTAGGGTAAATGTAATGAGACCAACACAAAGATACATCATAATCAAACTGTCAAAAGTCACAGACAAAAAGAAAGTCTTGAAAGCAGTAGGAGAAAAGTGACTCAACACATACAAGGGAATTCCCATTATATTATCATCAGATTTTTCAGCAAAAAAAACCTTGCAGACTAGAAAGGAATAGAATAAAATATTCAAAGTACTAAAAGAAAAAGGCTGCCAACAAAGAATATTATATCTGTCAAAACTGTCCTTTAAGAATAAGGAGAAATCAAGACTTTCCCAGATAAGTCAAAGCTGAGGGAATTCATAACCACTAGATCTGTCATACAAGAAACAATGAAGGTTCTACAAGTTGAAGTGAAAGGATGGTGAATAGCAACACAAAACCATACCAAAATATAATATTCCCTAGTAATGGAAATATAAAATACAATACAATAATACATTTGTATTGTCTATAGAGTATACATAAAGGGAAATGAAAAGAGAATCAAAATACATCACTACAAAAAAAATTAAACACAGAGAAACATCAAGAGAGGAAAAGAGAACAAAAAATTTTAAGACAGAAAGAAAACAAATGACAAAATGGCAATAGTTCTTTCCTATCCATAATTACTTTAAATGTAACTTGATTGAGTACATTAATTAAAAGACATAGACTGCCTGAATTGATTAAAAAAATAGGATTCAACTACATGCTGTCTACAAGAGATTCATTTTAGATCTAGGCACCAAAAAGCTAAAAATGAAAGGGTTTGTAATAAGTTGAATATTTCTGTCCCTTCAAAATTCATGTTGAAAACCTAATCATCAAAGAGATGGTATTAAGAAGTGGGGCTTTTGGAAGGTTATTTTGGAAGGTCTCTGTCAAGTGGACAGAGACCCCCTGAATAGGATTAGCATCTTTATAAAAGAGACCCCAGAGGGCTCTCCTGCCCTTTTTCCATCATATGAAGACACAATGAGAAAACAGCCATCTATGAATCAGGAAACAAGACATCACCAGGAACCTAATCTGCCCGCACCTTGATCTTGAATTTCCCAACCTCCAAAACTATGAGAGAGAAATATTTGTTATTTAAGCCACCCAGTCTATGGTATTTTTGTTATACCAGCTCAAACAGGTGACGAATATTTTATACAAACAAGAACCTAAAAAGAACAGGGATGGCCATACTTTCATAGATAAAATAGTCTTTAAGACAAAAACTATCACAAGAGACCAAGAAGGACAGTACATAAAGAAAAAAGGGTCAATTAATCAGGAAGATATAACAATTATAAACATATATATGTAACTAAAATTAGAAAACTCAAATATTTGAAGCAAACATTGACAGAACTATTAGTAGAAATAGAAACATATTAAAAATAAGAGAATCAATACCCCACTTTTAATAAT